ACACACACACACACACACACACACACACACACACACACACACACACGGGCATACATACACTCACGCAGACACACCCACACATAAATTTATGAATAAAAGTAAAATCCTCTTACTTTAAAAATGATCATCTTTTGTTAATGGGTGTTTCCCCTGCCTGTGTGTGTGCCCCATGTTCATGAAGGTCCCTTGAAGACCAGAAGAGGGCATCAGCTCTCCTGGCACTGAGCTACTGACCACTGTGAGGTGCCATGTGGGTGCTGGAAATCAAACCTGGATCCAGTGATCTTAACCGATGAACCATTGCTCGCCCCAATGTAATCTTTTTTTTAAAGGGAGGATAGAAGTAAATTGTTCAAGAACAATATTGCTTGAATCCCGTTCGTTTCCCTAAAATAGGAGTAGTGACTAATGCTTATGGATCGACACCTTTGTACAGTTTTGATGTCCTCTTTGGCGGTGCTGGGGATTTCATTTGGCCTTCCGTGTTCTAGGCAGGTACTCTAGCCTAGAGTTGCCACCCCACCCCCGTGTTTGTCATTTTGTGTGCTCCCTCGACCCTGGACAAGTCCACTCTGTAGCCTTGGCTGTCCTAGAACTCACTCTGTAGGCCAGGCTGGCCTTGAACTCAGAGTTCACCTGCCACTGTCTCCTGAGTGCTGGGGTTAAAGGCGCCGGCCATGGCTGCCCTGCTCGTCTGATGAGCTTCTTAACCCTTGCTGCCTGCTCTGCTGTTCTGCAGCCTCTTGATGAAGAGTTTAGATGTGGAACTCTCCTTTCCCCAGTCACCGCCAGGCTCCAACCTCTTCAGTGGTACGAGGAGGGGGACGCTGTTTCTCACCTCGTACCGGGTAAGTTTTACTTTTCTTTTGATTGGCTAGTTAGCTTAACATTTGTTTTTTTTTTTTCCTAAAGTTTAAGAAAAAAGTTAAACATCTGGGCATGGTGGTGCACTCCTTTGATCCCAGCACTAGGGAAGCAGAGGCAGGCAGATCTCTGAGTTTGAGACCAGCCTGGTCTACAAAGTGAGTTCCAGGGCAGCCAGGGCTACACAGAGAAACCCTGTCTCAAAAACAAAAAAAACCCCAAAACAAAATGAAAGCTAAACATTGGCTTTTAAGGTGTTTTACTTTGAAACTTAGTTTGCAGGAGGGTGAAAGATGATTTTTCTCACTTAGGCCACAGTGCCACTTGCTTTTGCAAGTCTCTGTCCATGGACAAATTCTGTGTCCCTTTTCCAAAGTTTCCTTCCTCACTTAGGTGATTTTTGTGACCTCACATCCAAACAACGATCCCATGTTGTCTTTTACGATGCCATTTCATCTCATGAGTAACTGCAGCGTTGAACAGCCAGTCTTTAGTGCAAACTACATTAAAGGGACGATTCAGGCAGTTCCAGATGGTAAGTTTTTTTTCTCTCTCTCTCTCTTAGAAGTGCCTCCCCTACACCCCAGAAAAGATTCTAGAAAGCTTAAGATTCGGACTTGCTTCACGTTAGAGTTCAGATCAGAGCCGACCTTCCTGTTGGCAGAGCGTGTTTCTCAGGGCCTGTAAGTCATTTGCCATTCCTTCCTCCAGGTGGCTGGGAAGGGTCCGCTACCTTTAAAATGGTCTTCAGGAAAGGAGGTGCTATCGACTTCGCCCAGTTGATGGCCAAAGCTGCCTCTGCCAGTGAGTGACCAACACAGTAAAAGCTCCAGGGGTTAAGGAGTTTACCTGTCATGTGTCGAGTCCCATACAATGTACTTATTATCCTCACCCTGTCCCGGAGGAGCTGGGAGCCTGTGGTCTAACCTGAAACTGCTATATCCTGCACCCCTTGTTTCTGGACGCCTGAGTGGGGTGACTGGGGGATGAAGGACAAACGCACGCATGTCCGGAGTAGCTGGGATCCAGTGGACTGTGTTTGCTCTGATGGAGCAGCACCCGGCGCAGCCCAGAAACCCAAGAGTGTTTATAAGAGCAGCACAAACAGAGAGGTCAGGGACTTCAGTAGGAGCCTCTCTGTGGGAGCAGACTCGGGCCGGGAGCAGCCAGTGCCTTCTGTAAGCTCTCCAATATTTGTACATGGATTAGAACAAGGCTGTGCCAATCCCCTGAGCCTGACCTGGGAACGGCTTTGCCACAAGCGTTTTGCTCTTCTCGCCTTGGTCTTGCCCTTGCTTCTCTTCTGTTTGCTCTTGTCCATGAGAGGATAATGAGGATTACTACTGTCCTAAAGTACTGACCTAACGGCTGTGCAGAGAGTGCTTTCTGTGGTTGATAAAATACACTTTTATGCCATGTTCTCATCCAAGCTAGTCTCACTTCATGCCACCCGCACTCTTTTTTTTTTTTTTTTTTCTTCAAGACAGGGTTTCTCTGTGTAACTTTGGCTGTCCTAGAACTCACTCTGTAGACCAGGCTGGAATGGAACTCATAGAGTTTCACCTCTGCCTCTGCCTCCTGAGTGCTGGGATGCGCCACCATGTCCGCCACCACCGCCACCGGCTACTACCCACACTTACAATCCACTCAGACTGCACTTTGTGCCTTGACACTCTCTTCTCTGAGTTGTCGTTTCGTTCTTTCCCTTTCTTTTTTTGCTATCCACCTCAAACTCCAATCTAGATGCTGAAAACGCGGCTTAGTAAAGATGGGCATTTGCAGATACGTTTTCACTTGCTTTAACAGAGGCATGACTATGGTGCTGCAGATACAGAGGAAGAAGGGTAAAGTGTATCTAGGTTACTGCAGTGAATGAGCTATGAGGCCGTGTGTCATGGTCAAGATTTATAATCAGTGTAAGTCTGAGAGGAAATTAGTTCAACTTAGAGACACGTACTTTAGTTGGCACTTTTTAAATGTTTACTATGCTGGGCAGTGGTCTAAGCCCTTTTACAAAGATCAGGTTAATGCTCATAAAACCTTATGATATAGATACTATTATGTTCTCTTCATACATAGATAGGGAAACCAACTAAGTGATGATTATATAGTACTATATTAGGCCCTAAATAACCACAGACAATGGGACAAGTTTTCTGCTCTCAATTAAGTATGCAGATTAAGAAAAGAGCCACATGTATTTTTTACCTGGTATAGAAGAGTATTGTTAGCTCATATGCCAAGTATCAGTTTTGTTGCCTCACAGGTAAGGAAGCAGTCAACACTGTTAGCTATTCAGTTCATAGCTACTGTATAGATCTGAAGAAGAAAAAGTTCTTATTTTGTCAAATTGTCTTCTCAGCTGCCCAAGGATTTCCACTCAGAGTTGCAAGTTTCTGGATGGGCCCTCCAGGCATTTATCTTGTTCCTGGGGAGAGGCACATGTATGCCCCACAGGCAAGCCAAGGTAAGATGCGGAGAAAGGAGTATACATGGCCACAGGCATGCCAAGGTGAGGTGTGGGAAGAGGAGCCCTCCAGGAAGTGGAAAAGTATGCCAAAGGCTCGAAGACAATTTGTCACAGCCTTGTTTGATTGAGGTCTGATTCAAGAGAAGCGCCAGGGTTTGGGGTGTCCGTGGCTTTGTTTCTTGGTGGAAAGCCAATAGTGAGTAAGCAAATGGCTGGACTTGCATTTCAGATTACATTCTGCTTGTCTGTAATTCTGTGTGTGAACAGGGCTGGCCTGGAATTGACTGCACTGCTTCAGCCTCCGGAGGGCTGAGGTTCTGTGCCGTGTTTCAGACTGATGACGTATAAGCAGAGCACACCTACGCAGCCCTGTTAGTGAGGAGCCTGAGCAGAAAACGCAGCCCTACCCGCCTCATCCCTTACTTTACACTGTCATGGCCCTCAAGTCTGCCATGCCTTCCAACCGCACCCTGGCCCCACGACCCCGTACCCTTCAACGTTAGGCATAGATGGAGAAAATTGCGGGCTTCCATGAAGACCTGGCTTGCTCAATAATGTATCAGTTAAGCGCCATTCCTTTTATTTATGATATCCTTGAGATAGTATCACTGCTGTGTTAAAATGTCTCATTTTGAAGTCCAGGATTAAAAAAACGGCAAACCTATCCTGCCACACACTGTTTATAGGCGTCTGTGCCCCGGCGGCCTTTCACTAGACTGTAAGTGCCTGCCGGGCAGTTCTCAGCGCTTGAAGGCTGACTAGAAACCACACGACTGCCAAGTATCTGAGGCGTTCACGGTACACTGAGCGCAAAGTCTCAGCAGCAAGAAAATGAACTAGAGCTGCTTTCAAGAGAGCCTTCCAGCAGGGCGTGGTGACCTACGCCTGTGATCCCGGCACTCTGGGAGGCAGAGGCAGGTGGATCTTTGTGAGTTCGAGGCCAGCCTGGTCTACAAAGTGAAAGAGAGACTGAGAGAGAGAGAGAGAGAGAGGGAGGGAGCACCTTACTGGAGGCTGGAGAGAGGCTCAGTCGTTAAGAGCCCTTGCTGCTCAACCAGGAGACTGGTTTCAGTTCCCAGGAGACTGGTTTCAGTTCCCAGGAGACTGGTTTCAGTTCCCAGGAGACTGGTTTCAGTTCCCAGCAACCACACAACTACCTGCACCAAACCTCAGGGGATCTGATGCCCTCTTCAGACCAGCATACCCAGGGAGTACATGTCCAGACACACATACATAAATAAAAACGGAACATGGGGTATGGTGGCACACACCTTTAATGCCAGCAGTCAGACTCCAGAGGCAGAAGAAGCACATGGATTGCTTCAAGTTCAAGGCCAGTCTGGTCTACACAGTGAGTTCCAGGACAACAGAGGAAGACCCTGTTTCAAAAATAATATTTTTTTTTAAAGAGCCTTTGATGTCAGACCCAAACAACACTTCAGAGTACAGAAAATAAATATTGATTCTTTCCCAGTGTTCCCATCTCTCTGTGTGATAGATTTCTGCTACTATAATGAAATATCTGAGACAGTTTTTAAAAGAAAGGGTTTTGTTGTTGCTGTGAGATGGGTCTCGTGTAGCTCAGGCTGATCTCAACTCACTGTGTAGCCAAGGCTGCCCTTGAACTTCTGATTCTCCTGCCTCTCTCTCCCAAGTGCTGAGATTACAGGTCTCCCGTACCATGGCTAGTTTTTAAGACAAGGTCTCATACTGTGGTTTTATTTTGTAGGCCATGCTGGCCTTGGACTGTGGTAATCCTCCATGCCTCAGCCTCACATGGTGCTGGTCATAGGTGTGAGTTTTTTTTTTTTTTTTTTTTTTTTTTTTTTTAATGTGCCTGCTATAGCTTGCTTATGCAGGTCATAGGATATGTATTGTGGGAGTCAGCTCTCTCCTTCCACTATGGTCCCAGGAATTGAACTTGGTTCTAAGGCTTGGTAGTACATTCCTTTATCTACTGAGCCATCTTGCTGGCCCTTTGTTTTGATTTTTGTGCTGTTTTTTTTTTTTTGTTTTGTTTTTTTGTTTTTTTTGTTTAGTTGTTGACACAGGCTCTCGCTGTATAGCCTGGGCTGACCTGCAACTTATGTAGACCAAGATGGCATCAAATTCAAAGATTTGCAGGCCCATGCCTCCAGATTAAAGATGTGTACCATAGGTCCAAGCTATTGGTTTTTTTTGTTTGTTTGTTTGTTTTGGTTTTTTTTTGTCGTTGAATTTAGCATCTCCTATTTGAGCCTCCCACAGAGTTGAGAGTATAGCCATGCAAAACCACACCTATGGATGTCTGTGGCTTTTTATTGAATGTGTGTCATGATATAGTAAGTTATAGAACAGGATTGTGGGTTTTTGGTGTGAGGTCTTACTCTCATCTGGCTAGGAGTGAGACTCTTCAGGGTTGCTCTTGTAGTTACTGCTATGCCAGATTCACGGGACCCTCAGAGACCACCAGGAGACGACTCGATGCAATAGCAAGAGAGCTTTATTATGAGAGCGATCAAACTTGGGACCCAAGTCTCTCCGATGCAGCAGTAGAGAAGTGGGACCCTGAGCTCTGAGTGAACAGGATTTTTAAAGGGAAAGTCTGTGAGCAGGGGGTTTCCATGGCAAGCAGGGGGGCACAAGCCTTGGTGTTACAGAATTGGGTGAAGTTTAGCAGGGCGGGGTGACCTTTTCTGAGGCACACAATCACAGAGGCTAAGGCATATAATCACAATGGCTATTTTTCTAAACCACATCTGAAACATTGGGGAGAATTTTCCTACCCGATTCTCAACCGATTCCCATTGATTATTGCCAGGGAGTTTGTCTCTATTTTCTATGAAGCATTTATTCTGTATTATTTCCTGAAGGCTGTTGCTAGGAGAGTTAACTTTGTTCTCTGCCAAGTGTACATTCTGTGATATTTCCTGGTACCTGAATTCAGCTCCCAGTCAAGATGGCTCTTTACTCAGGCTAACTATACCCAGGCTAACCTAAACTCTTCAGTACCAGGGGCTTTAGTTTTCTTCCTGTTTCCTTTTCTGTTGTCTTTGCCTCTTCATGTACATGAAGCATATATCATGCATTTTCCTCACTTGTAACCACTGTTATTCTGGCCCCCCATTGTCACTGTCTCTCCATGTTTTGTGGCAGCTTGCCTTGTGATTGATTTTCATTGATGGGTTTTCAGCTCATCTCTTTTTAAAAGATTGTTATAGTGAGGATAAAAGTGATGATTTCCAAGCTCTTCCCCCCCCCCCCCCCGCCAAGACAAGGATTCTCTGTGTAACCTTGGCTATCTTGGAACTCACTCTGGAGACCAGACTGTCCTGGAGCTCAGAGATCCACCTGCCTCTGCCTTCCAAAGTGCTGGGATTAAAGGCATGCAATATTACTGCCTGGCTGGTTTCTAAGCTCCTAACCTGTTCTACTCTAGACATCTGACATGTGAGAGTATCTCGATTTTATTCTCTCTGTTCATCTGGCTTGTTGATTTAAAGGCAAGTGTGTGTCATGACCAGGGACATCAGACATTATTCTATTTTTTTTAAATATGTTTTTATTTTTTTGAGATTATAATATAATTACATCAGTTTCCCCTTCCCTTTTCTTCTTTCACACCCTCCCATGTGTACACACACACACACACACACACACACACACACACACACACACAGACACACACACAGTGCTCTATTTCAAACTCTTGGCCTCATTTTCTTTACTTGTCGCTATGTGTGTGTGTGTTCCGTAAATAGATATGTAAAATCTGCTCAGTCCATCTAGTATCACTCATATGTGTATGTTTTTAGGGCTGACCGTTTGGTATTAGATAACCAGTTTGTGTGCTCTTTCCCGGGGAGGACTATGTCCCCAACTCTCAGTATTCCTTTGCTGCCTATAGCTTCCTGTCTAGGGTTGAAACTTCGCGGACTTTTCCTTCTTCAGGGCACCATGTCTTTTGGTGTCTTCCTCCTTCAAGTCATGTTTAGGCAGCCATGCTGGCGAGGCTTCATGAGTTAGCTTCTCTGACATTTCTAGGAGACATTACTGGAGGGAAAAAGGTAATCATCAGTATCACCCAGCTCCACTCTTTGTGATCTGTAGCGGCAATCTACCTACAAGATATGCTAGTACGAAAGTGGTACGGATGCTAGGGGAGCAGCCAACCATTTTTTATTGGGTTCAAGGCCCACTCCATTAAGGAACCCATACCTGACATTGTTAATGTGGCCAAGAACCTGAGACTAAGTAGATCATGAGACCAGCGGAAAAATAAGGCTGTTGTTTTGCTGAAGGAACATAGCAATAAAGTGACTCTTAATGACACAGTGATACAGCCATAGATCAGTGCATCACTCAGTCCTCATCAGAGAAGCTTCTTGTTCCAGTAGATGGCAACTAACACAGAGACCCACAACTGGACAAAATGCAGAGAGTGAGAGACCTTGGAGCACTCAGTCCTAAATGGGATGTTTTTATCAAACCTGTCTTAGTTACTTTTTTATTGCTGTGACAAGACGCCACGATCAAGACAACTTATAAAATAAAGCATTCAACTTAGGGCTGGCTTGCCTGTAGTTTCAAAGGGGAATCCACAGTCACCATGGCAAGTGTGGTGACGGGCAGATGAGCTTGGTGCCGGAGCTAGTAGCTGGGCTCTTCCATCTCATCCGTGAGCAGACAGCGTTAAGACTGGGCTTCGTGTCTTGCCTCTGAAACCTCGAAGCCCACCCCAGGGAACATCTCTTTCAACAAGGCCACACCTCCTAATCCTTCCTAAACAGTCCACCATCCGGGAACCAAACATTCAGATACATGTGCCTAAGGGAACCATTCTCATTCAAAACACCACAAAAACCCTCCCCTGAAGGCTTAGGGATCTACGCAGAAGAGGAGGCAGAAAGATTGTAAGAGCCAGAGGTGGTAGATGACGCCAAGGAACCAGCGTGCTCTAGATACAAAGGACTGATGTATATAATTCACAGAGACTGACAGTGCATGTAAAGACTTGGAGAAGTTCAAAACAGACAGAATCCCCTTATGCAGAAGGGAAAGTGGGCACAGAGTAGCTTTTGTAACTGATGCCCTCAGAGAAAGGAAAAATCCGTTTTCTCTAGAGGAGGGTCACTGGGTTTATCAACCGCACTGCAGGGCAGACCCTATGCCTAGGTGTGGCTGGCCAATACAAAATGTTTTTGTTTTGTCGTAATGTTATTTGTTTGTTTGTTTCTACCTTTGTTTTTCATTTGGTTGTTTGGTTGTTTTGTGGTTTAGGGAGAGAGTGAGAGAGAGAACATGAAGTAGGGAGGGAGGTGGTAAGATCTGGGAGGAGCCTGGAACCTTGTCGAGCCTGGTGGGAACTGGTGGTTGAACCTGAGTCCCCTGAGAGAGCAGCCAGTGCTTTTAACCCTGAGCAGTCTCTCCAGAGCCGCCTCTCCTTTAAAACCACCTCCCCTTCTACTTTCCAAATTATACTCCTCATTGAAGGTATGTCTCTTTTCATAACCCCAAACAAACTTTATCAATAAAATGTGAGTCATGACCAGTGTAACTAGAAGGTTGTTTCCAGTTCATTCAGGTAACCTTATCAGAGGAATGATAAGACGGGGTAACTGCTAAAGGAAAGGTTTTAGCATGGCTGAATTCGGGTGTGTGAGGTCCCCCCCCCCCACGCATTATTTTTTTATGTTCCTCAGTTATTCTTTGTTCGCAGGGTTATGATTTTTTCCCCCTTCTTTTTGCCATCCTAGCTGCCTATGGAGTCCCACCTGCAGGATACGGAGCCCCACCCCCCAGATATGATGTCCTGCCTCCAGGATACGGAGCTGAGAGATTCAGATCCCCTCCTCCTCTATACGTAGCTACCCCTGCGGGCTATGGAGTGCCCCCTCCTGGCTATGGAGCTCCGCCCCCTGGGTACGAAGCCCCGCCTCCTGAATATGAAGACCCCGCTGTGGAGTACGGAGTCCCACCTTCCAGATACGAAACTACACCTGTGCAGTCTGGATCCCCACCTCCCAGATATGAAGCCCCACCTGTGGAGTATGGAGCTCCCCCTTCGGGATCTGGGTCCATACCTTCTGGATCCAGAGCCCCGCGGGGGGGCACGTGAAACTCCACCGGCTGGGTCTGCGGCAGCCCACACTCACGGATTTCAGGCATCTTTTCCCTCCACCTCGTCTTCGCGGGCCCGTTCTCCCCCTTCTAAGAAGTGAACCTTGAAGTTTCAGCAGGCAAAGCCACACCCCAGCCTTGAAGTCAAGATAATGAGGACACTGAGCTATTCGGTTACAGACCCATCCTAGGTAGCTGGTCTCTCACCTTGGAAGTTCAGTCACAGGGCGAAACCAAGCTTTGTCTCCATGCCTGGATTGTAGGAGCAGTGTCAACCCTTGATTGGCTGGATAAAGGGGGAGTAGCACAGAGGGTGAGTTCCCTAATCACTTCGTTGACATTGGATGCATTTTAAATTTTTGCAAACTCACAAACCTGTTGTGAGTTTGCAAAAAGCTTCCTGCCTTTTCTCCTCATCTGTGTTCAGAAACCTTTGCACTACTCTGTTTGGTAGAGACTAAGATCTTCTAAAATGTCACGTTGAAAGCTGAGCCTGGTGGTGCAGGCCCATAACCCCAGCTGCCAGAGAGGGTGAGCCAGAAAGATGGCAAGCTCAAGGCTTTGCCTGGACTGCAGGATCAAAGCCAGCCTGGGCAGTTTAGTGAGAGCCTGTCTCCAAAACTATAAAATGAAGGGCCAGGGATAGAGCTCAGCCGAAGTGTGTTTGCCTAGCATGCTGGTGGTTGTAGGTTTAATCCCAAGCACAAAAAAAATTATGCCTGTAATCCCAGCAGCACTTGAAAGGCAGAGGCAGGAGGCTCAGAAGTTCAAGGTCATCTCTGGCTACATAGGGAGCCAACGATACATTAGAACCTGTCTCAAAAACAATGGTCAAACCGCATCACAGCGAACACAGCTATTCCTTATAGTGGACGACCTTAATTTCCTCTCACAAGTGACAGCACATACATACAACATTGACCTTTCACCTCCTTGTGCCCATGCACACTTAGACCTGCACATCTATACTCACAATGTTCTTAAAAGGAAAGAAATGAATAGGTGGGAAAAAAAAAATGTGGATTCCCAATTAACGACAACCGAGGTAATATCATTAACTGAGGCAGTAACATGACTAAATAATTAAAAGTGTGCTCAACTCAAATACTATTAGGGACATTTGGCTTGAAACGAGAGAGCATTTCCAGATATTGAGTGGGTTTGCTCCTGCACTGCTGAGTGGCAGGCGCTCCACCACTGAGGTGCCTTCTTTGCCACTATTAAAATCCTTGCTGTGGCAACTTCACATCGCCATGTCCACCCCTAAGGGATCCTTGCACACGCCCACAAAAGATGCCTACAGAGAGGGGCCATTGCATTCTTTTTTTTTTTTTTTTTCCAGTAGCACAAAATTAGAAATAACTTACTTGATGGTTGTCAACTTGATCACACTGAGAAACGGCGGGGCGCACGGGGACACACCTCTGGGTGTGTCTCTGGGGCTGTTTTGAGAGGCTAACTGAGAAGAGTCCCTCAGTGTGGGCGACACTGCCCCACGTGCTGGGAATAGAAAGGGCATAAAGGCGAAAGGGCAGGGGGGCACCATCTCTCCCTTTCCCTGCTTCCTGAACAGGGCCATGGACCCAGCCAGCCATTTCTACCACATGCCCTCCCTGCAAGGATGGGCTGCATAGATCTGAACTGTGAGCCCCAAATACCCGTTCTCCCCAAAGTTGCCTTTTGTCCATGATTTGGTCACAGTTGTGACTCGTAATTAACAAAACTCATGGCCATTGATATGATATCTAGAAACGGGCACACCCACCTACATGTACTTACTGTTAAATGAGAGAAGCATGTGGGGGGGGGGCGTCATAGGCTTCAACCCCATCATAATGAAGCCCTTTTATGGTGTGTTTGTAACAAATACATTTTAAACTGTGAACAGCGGTACACACCTGTAATCCCAACATTTGGTGATTGAGGTAGGAGGATCACAGCTTCAAAGCCTGCATGGGCTGCAATGAAACTTTATCTGGAGAAAACAAGAATACATTTAACATGCAATAAATATTTTGTAACATGCCGTGCACAGTCAAAGAAATTTGTCAGTAGTTGCACAGGATTTCACATAATTTCAACTAAAATTATCGATAACTAGAAATGTCAGGTAAGGAGGATATAGAAGTAACTATTAGCCAGATTTTAAGGGTCTGTGGTGTGTGCACGTGTGTGTGTGTGTGTGTGTGTGTGTGTGTGCAGATCTGCCTGCCTCTGCATCCTGAGTGCTGGGATTAAAGGTGTGTGCTACCATCACCTTGCTTAACTCTGGGAACTTTTAAAATTGGACTGATTAAGCCCAGCCCTATGGAGGCCGAGGCAGGCAGAACTCTAGGAGCTTGGGTCCAGCCTGTCTAGATAGCTCCAGGCCCACCAAGGCTACACAGTGAGACAACAGGTAAATACAATCAGACTGAAGACATTTTTACACTATGACTGGGGACAAAGGGTCAAAAGTTACGGCTTAAAAGGTATGTGTTTTGCCAAGTGTAGTGACACAGGCCTCCCAGCACATGGGAGGCAGGGGCAGTTGGACCTCTGAGTTCAAGGCCAGTCTGGTACACAGTGTGTTCCGAGGCCAGCCAAGGGCTACATGGTGTCTTAGGGTTACCCTTGGTGTGATGAAATACGGTGACCAAAGCAACTTGGGGAGGAAAAGGTTAATTTGGCTTACTCTTCCCTATCACTGGGAACCATCAAAGGAAGACAGGTCAGGGATTCAAACAGGGCAGGAACCTGGAGGCAGGAGCTGAGGCAGAGGCCATGGAGGAGTGCTGCTTACTGGCTTATTCCCCTTGGCTGGGTCCACCTGTTTTTTTATAGAACCCAGGACCACCAGTGCCGTATGGCGATACCCATAATGTGCTGTCCCTCCCCCATCCATCACTGATTAAGAAAATACCCTTCAGCTGGATCTTCTCCCCAACTCCCCACCCCCCAGAGACAGGGTTTCTTTGTGTGACCTTGACTGTTTTGGCTGTCCTGGAACTCGCTCTGTAGGCCAGGCTGACCTCAAACTCTCAGAGATCCACCTGCCTCCAAAGTGTTGGGATTAAAGGGGTGTGCCATGCCCAGCTCAGATCTTGATCTGAAAATAGAAGGCAAAGTGAAGGAGAGTGGGAAAGATGTGAGTCTTTTGAAACATCAAAGCCCATCCCTAGTGACACACCTCTTCCAGTAGCCATCTTAGCCACGGAGTGAGGTCAAGCCAGCTTGGGTAACAAGAGGTTTCGGGGAGGGGGGGAAATATGGAGGATTTCTCCAAAGAATGGATACTTTAGTTCCAGCACTCAGGAGGCAGAGGCAGGCAGATCTCTGTGAGTGTGAAGCCAGCCTGGTCTACAAAGAGAATCCAGGACAGCCAAGGCTACACAGAAGAGCCATGTCTTGAAGGATTTAAAAAAAAAAAAAAAAAAGAAAAGAAAAGAAAAGAAAAGAAAAAAAAAAGATACTTAGCAAAGATTCTGTGACTCAGACTCAAAGAAAGTAAAACCCAGACTTTTCCTCTGCTCTTCTGCACAGCTGAACTGGTGGGTTTGAGGGGAGGTTACTGTCCCTCACTAAAGTATCTGTTGTCTTGATCCACTAAGCTGCCCCAACACACTGACATGGTGCTGTGCAGCTACTATTACTGTTATCGCCTGTTGCGATTACTAATGATATTAGTTAATCATTTTAATTGTGTGTGTGTTTGTGCTATGGCTCATGTGTAGAGGTCAGGGGACAACATTTTTAAAGTCAGTTCTTTCCAGGGTATGAGTCCGGGGGACACAGACTTAGGTCATGAGGCTTAGTGTTGGCAAGTGCTTTACCTGGACAAGCAAGCTCAGTGGCCCTTGCCTGGTGCCATTGTTCCTGAGGCTTAGATTCTTTCTGTTAGTACTTCCTGGGGTTGGGGAGATGGCTCCGTGGTTAAGAGCACTCGCTGCTCTTGCAGAGGACCTGGTTAGTCCCGAGACTTTTAGTGCCCTCTCTACTGCCAATGCCACCTGCCTTAGGGTTTTATTGCTGTGAAGAGATGCCATGACCATGGCAACTCTTATACAGGAAAACATTTAATTGGTGCTGGCTTACAGTTCCGAGGTTTAGTCCATTATCATCATGGGGGAAAGCCTGGCAGTATGCAGCAGACACAGTGCTGGAGAAGGCTCCGAGAGTTCTACATCTTGACCCACAGGCAGCAGGAGATGGTGTCACATAGGAGACCTCAAAGCCCGCCCTCACAGTGACACACTTCTTCCAACAATGCCACGCCCTCCTAATAGTGCCACTACCAATGGGCCACATTCAAACACATGAGTCTATGGGAGCCATACCTACTCAAAGCAGCACCCCTTGTCTTTTCACTTGGAATCTCTCTCTTGATCCAGCGTTCGTTGCCACTGGAGCCCTCGTTCCAGT